TACTGTCTTTATCATGGTTTTCATTTTTTACTATCCAAGATACTGGGAGCGTTACATCCTTCCAGAGGATTTGCTTAGGGGCTTGGATATGTGACTGACTAGTACTGGCTTGAATCAGAGTAGTGCTTCTTAAAAGACTTTTCTGTAATGCATGCACATTCAGGTTTGTGGTAATCCATTTATAATAAATTCTGTAGAGAAGTACTATGGATTCAGTTTCTTTCACCAATTTAGTGATGCTTCCTGTTAGCTTTATTCCTAAGGTTAAAGCTAAGGGAGTATTTTTGCATCCTAAACTTAAGGTAAAGTCAAAGAAACAATTGAAATAAACTGGTCTTTTATGAAAACTTGTTTCCATGATACCAATAATACTGGATTCATATTCGAGGAACCTAGCATCTCTTTTATGTTAACAAGGTTGCTGAATTTTTTCCTTGTTGAATTATGGTTTAATAGCTACTTGTATTAAACCAAGGTGAATAAAGTTAAATCCTTTTTTCCTATGTTTCTTAAGGGTTTTGGAACTCAACAGCTGGCAACTTTGTTCATCCTTAAAGAGAGGATAAATTTGTTCAATAGTTGTTACCTGCAATTCTTCATTAAAGGCTTTAAGGAGCTAACTAGTTTTGTAGATGTCTCGATGGGATACCTTTGAGATATTCCAACCGGTCCAATCTACTCTTATTTCTCCAAACTCATGTTCTTCTTCATTTACTATATTAGGTATAGTACCTAATGAAGATCTAGATGAGCTAGCCATAGAATTATATCTAAATAATCTACTCATGGTTAAATCTAATTTTTTAATTTTATAAATTTTTGTTTAATTGTGACTCCATTGTACATACCCCCTAACATACTGATTTCCTCAGAACTTGTCTGTATTTCCCTCAAACTGCTTACACAAGGACTTACAAAATGGGAATGGTCGACTATTCTCTCTCGGGAGACAAAGGCTGGGTGACAAGGGTAGATCAAACTTAAACAATAATTTACTAAATTAAAATGGAAGAGATTTAACACAAGTAAGACAATTTAAATATAACTGCATGGGTATATATATATATATATATATATATATATATATATATATATATATATA